ACACACACACACACACACACACACACACACACACACACACACACACAGGACCTTTGCAACCCAGCTGGCTTGAGAAACCCCAGCCGGCTCTATTAAGAGGTACAGATAAGATCCTGAAAGAACATATGAGATTTTACAGGATCTGAAATGTAAATAAAATTTTACTAGTTGCATACAACATAATAATTTACTCAATTTATTTCCAGAATATTAATTCTAGCCTCTATTTTTGTTGTTACTGCATAAAAGTGTATTCATTTTTTTAGCCGGCTAGTGTGGGTGATTTACAAGTATCTTCATCACCAGAATAAAGACAGTAGAGAGTGAAGTTTGTTTTTTTTTTTGTGTGAAATATTTTTATACACCAGTAGCAGCTGGTGTGGTGCTGTAGGATCAGCACTGACCTGTGAACCACAAGGTCAGCAGTTCAAATCCACCAGTCGCTCCTCAGAAACCCTACATGATCACTATGAGTTGGAACCGACTCGATGGCACTTAACAACGACATCAGCAGCATCGTGCTGCCCCAGTATGGCACAGTAGGATAAGTATCGGACTGCAAACCATAAGGTCAGCAGTCCAAACCCACCAATTGTTCCTCGTAAACCCCTATACAGGGTTACCACGAGTCAGAACCGACTCCACGACACTGGCAGCAACAGGGACATCACATCACATGTGAAAAGTGAAAAATTTTGGAAGAAAAATCTCACTGATGAGAAGTTATAGGTCAAGTCACTTCCAAAAAAGAAGGACTGTCTGGTAATGAACAAAGTGACTGTTTTATATAACCAAAGAGCTTAATTTCTGCCTTAAATACAGCATTTTCTTTCATTTCTTCCCCCATCCCATAAATCAGATTGAATACCTTTGCATCAGGTTTATCTTTATCCTCTAAAGAGCCAAGCTCTTCCGGACCAAGAGAAAATAATGCTTCTAAAACAAAAACAAGTAGAATCAGAGATGTAAATGACAGGAGCACATTTTAGAAAACTGTTTTAGAAAGCCAATTCTACCATTATATGAAAATCAGCTAGATTCAGTAATATGATTGTAATAATATTTATATGCATATCTTACATATTTTGCTTTCCCGAAGCATTATTTTATGTTAAAAAGAATTCTCCCAGTTTATTATTTGATACTCTATCTTGTTTACACTTTTTTATGAACCAAAAAAAAGGAATTTATATCATCAAAGTCATCAGTCTTTTCCCTTTGGTGTGAAACTTCAGCATAAGTTTGCAACCCAAAGATAACATATTCACCACATTATCTTCTAGTATATTTATAGAGTCTGAAGAAATATGTAAGGGTCCTGGTGGTACTTTGGGATAAGCACTGGACTGCTAACCGCAAGGCTGGCAGTTCAAACTCACTAGCCATTCCGTGGGAGAACGACGTCAGCTTCGGTAAAGATTTATTCTCAGAAACCCTGAGAAGCAGTTCTAACTGTCCCATAGGGTCGCTATGAGTCAAACTCAGCTCAAAGGCAGTGCTTTGTGGTTTTCTTTGTTTTGGGGGTCCTGTGGATTAGGTGCTGCGCTGCTAACTAAAAGGCTAACGGTTCAAACCCACCAGCGCTCATCAGAAGATGGATTAAGTTGTCTGCTCCTGTAAAGATTTCGGCTTGGAAACCCTGTACAGGAACACTATGAGTCGAAACTGACTTGATAGCTAGGGTGGGTGGGTAATAAACATTTAGATTATTTATAGAAGTACAACTTATTTTGCTTTACTTCTGTTTGTAAAAGTATTTTATTGTGCGTTAGGAATATATAGCAAATTAGATTTTAATTTAACAATTTTTATAAAAGGGTTGTGGAAAAATGGAATTGAAAATGTAATGGGATTTTTTCCATGTACTTTCTGAAGTCCCTCATACAAACGCGCCTATAACACTGGCTGCAATTTTCACAGTACCCAGCATTCTTATTATTTCCACTGTCTTTCAATCGATCGTACTTTTCTTCCCCTTCTTGCCTTTTCACCTTTGCAACAGTAAATACTGTTTGGTTGCATATAGTTGACAAAGGCAGAGATGGGGAACGTCTGGCCCACGGGCTGCATACACAAGGCCCGTGAATCACTGGTTTGGCCCTGTCAAGACAACCGCAATTCCAGCCTTCACGTTGTTGTCAAGTGCCTTGAGTTGGTTCTGACTCACAGAAACCCTATAACGGCGAGTGAGTTTGAACCACTAACCTTGCAGTTCAAACCAACCTTATGGTCGGTCTAGTGCTGATCCTACAGCGCCACATCGGGACTCCATCACACTGTCATCGTTGTTAAGTGCCGTTGAGTCGGTTCCGACTCTTAGCTGTAAGTTAATTAAATGTCTGACCAAATATAGCAGAATTTTTATGTTGATAATTCTATATGGCCTATGAATGACGTTATGAATTTTGGCAGAAAAAAAGGTTTCCCACAAGATCGGAGGTTCAAATTCACCAGCCACTCCTCAGAAACCCTATACCAATTTGCTATGAGTTAGAACCGACTCAGTAGCACTTAACAACCACCACCACCAGGCCTGGTTCAAGAGAATACAATCATCACGGGTGATATGGTTTATAACTTCTATCATTATCTTCACCACTGACTCTAGGAAACTAAATGGCAAGGTTAACAAGGCTCCAGGGAATTCTAATGATTTCCCATTGCCTATGGCACTGGGTTCTAAAAGCCAGTGAGAAGTTTAAACATAGGGTCACCATCCAGAAGGCTACCAACGATTCTTTCTTCCATAGGGAGGCCTTCCTGTTTTTATTGTGTTAACATCCATTCTATGTTGAGGGTGATCTTACTGGAGAAAAGAAGTTAGCAGTCTTCATCTCATGTGAGTCTCCAGAATTTGTTTTCAAGCCAAGGTATAAGTACCCCATGAGTGGGGCATGGCTGAGACCTTTGGAAAATCTGTTCACACCTAAATAGGATCTCCGACTGGAAAACCCTGAGATACCTGAGGGGCAAAAAGGATGTACAGGTCTTGGTCCCCACTGAAAACCACTGCTCTTAGGGGTCTGTTGTTAACGTATGCATATGCCTCGGATTTCTTGGCTGCTGCCGCCATCCATAGATATTGACTGTGAACTTGGTAAAATGAAATCCTTCACAAATTTTAATATTTTCACCATTCATCAGGATGACACTTATTGGTCCAGTTGTAAGGATTTTTGTTATCTTTACACTGAGGTGTAATCCATATTGAAGACTACAGTGTTTGATCTTCAACACTGTTTCAAGTCCTTGTTGCTTTCAGTAAGCAAGGTGGTGATATCTACATATTGTTGTTGTTAAGTGCCAATGAGTCAGTTCCGACTCACAGCAACTTGGCATGGGGTTTCTGAGGAGTGCCTGATGGGTTTGAACCATCGACCTTGCAGCTCAAGCTGACCATGCAGTCCAGTGCTTATCCTACAGTGCCACACTAGGGCTCTATCTGCATATTACAGGCATGTTAGAGTTTTCCTTCAGTCCTGATGCCACATTCTTCATACAGTTCAGCTTCTTGGGTGATATGCTCAGCATACAGACTGGGTAAGTACAGTCAATGGATACAACTCTGACACACACTTTTCCTAATTTTAACCCTGCAGAACCCCTTGTTCTGCTTAAATGTCTGCCTCTCGATCTAACTACAGGCTCTGCACGAGCATAATTGTTCTGGAATACCCATGCTTTGCAATGTTATCCATAGTTTGTTATGATCCACAGTCATAAACCTTTGCATAGTCAACACAGGACAGGTAAACACCTTTTGCTGGCATTCTCTGCTTTCAGCCAAGGTCCCTATGGCCTCAGCAGTGGTATCCTTGTTCTATGTCCTCTTTTGAATCTAGCTTGAACATCTGGCAGTTTCAGGTTGAGGGACTGCTGTAATCATTATTGAATTATCTACACCATAACTTTACTTAGATGTGATGTTAATGATACTCAATCATTTCCACATTCTGTTGGATCACCCCTCTTTGGAATGGGCCCGAATAGTGATGTCTACCAGCTCCCTGGCCAGAGAGATATCTTCCAAATGCCTTGGCATAGATGAGTGAGGGTATACAATGTTTCATCTGTTTGTTGGAACATCTCAAACTGGTATGCCATCAATTCCTGCAGTCTTGTTCGTCGCCAACACCTTCAGGGCAGCTTGGACTTCTTCAGTGCTATCAGTTCTTGAACATATGTTACCTTCTGAAATAGCTGAACGTCGAACAATTCTTTTTGGCAAGGTGACTCTGTGTATTTCTCCTATATCCTTTTGATTCTGCCTGTGTCAAATACGCTTTAAAAGATCTCTTTAAAGTGCTAAAAAGGCAAGAGCATCACTTTTATAAGTGCACCTGACCTACGTCACCTCATTGTTGTTAAGTGCTGTCGAGTCAATTCTGACCCATAAAGACCCTGTATAGGGTTTCCAAGGAGCAGCTGGTGAGCCTGAACCGCTGACCTTGCAGTTCAAACAGCTTTGCAGTCTGGCGCATTAACCCACAGCACCACACCAGGTCTCCTATGCATGTGAAAATTGGACGGTGACTAAGAACCAAGGCAAAATGGATTCATCTTAACTATGGCGTTGGCGACAAGTACGGAATATACAAAGGACTGCTAGAAAAAATGACAACTCTGTCTTGGAGGAAGTATAGCCACAATGGTCCTTCAAGTGGGGATGACAAGATTTCATCCAGTGTACTTTAGATAGGTCATCAGGAAGAAACAGTCCTTGGAGAAGAACATCATGTTTGGTAAAATTGTTGTTGTTGTTGTTATGTGCCATCGAGTCGGTTCCAACCCATAGCGACCCTGTATAGGGTTTCCGAGGGTGTAAATTTTTACGGGAGTAGAAAGCCTCATATTTCTCCCGCGGTGCAGCTGGTATTTTCGAACCGCTGACCTTAAAATACAGGGCCAGAAATGAAGAGGAAGACCCTTAATGAGATGGCCAGACAACGGCTGAACCTATAACAGGCTCAAATGGAACAATGGTTCTGAGGAAGGTGCCGGACATGGTGACAAAGGGTCACTGTGAGTCAGAACCAACTTGATGGCATCTAACAACATATTCCTCTGAGGGCAGCAACTGGGAAAAAGTAAACCTACTTGTTACAGCACAAAACCAAACATGCCCGAGGATTTCCAATGACTCCCCAGTGTCCTCAGCTGTACTGTGCTGAGAGTAGAAGGGAACTCCTCTAGTTCTCGGCCTGTGGCTACCTTTCCAGATGAAGTCTCCCTTCACTAGTGCTGGAGCTCAGGCTAAGTCTCAGGAATACAAAATCCACACTAAGATGCCAAACCACATGCTTGCTGGAAGAGCTTGGGACATTCCATCTGATCTGTGCTTACTGATACTTTTCATGACCTTCCCCACAGCCTCCCTTCCTCAGTCTCATTTTTCTACTTCAAGTTCCCTTTAATTTGTTGTTTTTAGTTTGAGGGATGTACACTTTACTGGAAACCTTGACTCCTCTTTAGTCCGGACAGCACATCTTCAGAAAAGGCTCCTGTGTGGGCCTTACGTTTTGGCCTGGAGGCAAGCCGACAGAGAGCACGCTGAATGCTGGCCCCCATGACCTCAGGGATGCTCCTGGAAAGCTCGTCAGCTTTTACCTCTTCGACAGGCCCCACCATGCAAGAGAGGCTCACATTCACTTACTAAAGTCTGCTCAGGAGTCCTGGTATGACGATGCATGACAAACACCGGACAGCTAACTGCAAGGTTCAAACCCACAGAGCTGCTCCTTGGAATCCCTATACAGGGTCGCTATATATTAAAACGGACTCAATGGTACTTAACAACATCAACCACCAGAACATCTGCTGAAATCCTCTGATGGGCTCCTTAAGGGTACCAGCTTCTCAATATGGCTGAGGAAGACCTCTGCAACCTGGAGTGGCTGAGACACAAAACTCTCTTCTCCGTGCACGGGACACAGTCAGTGGTCTTCCTCAGAAAGAGCAATGATGTCCTGTAGGGCTTTGTAGTTCCAAGTAATGCTGGCACCCCAAGGACGTCATAATGCCCACTGCCAACAGCACAGACCCATGACACACGAAGTGGAGTCGAGATGCTCAGCTCAGCGGTGGGAGTATCGGCAGAGGTGGCGGCAGGTTCAGTCACAAGCAGGCACAGAGGTGATGGTGGTGATTCTGTGAGTGGTACCCAAGTGACTAGTCAGGAGAGGCTGAGAGCCCACAGCAGAGCGGATTCGGTCTGAATGACGTGAAACTATCATCAATAAACTGCCGTCATCTTGACCGTCTTGGTCTCTGAGCTGTCCATCCGTTAGGGCGGGCACAGTCACAGCTGCTTGGGCATGAATACCAGGTACTCACTCCTCAGACGGTGACCCCGTGGGGCGGTGGAGGACACCAGACTCCATTATTGTATGTATGAGTCATTGCTCTCCTGGATCCCCTCACCAACACCCCAAACCACAGATTAACCACCAAGGGCTTTGGTGACACTGTTGATGCTTTCCCTGATTAGTATGGTCTTGACAACTCCAGCACCACCCAAAAGCCAACACCCCAAACTACAGATTAACCACCAAGGGCTTTGGTGACACTGTTAATGAATTCCCTGATTAGTATGGTCTTGACAACTCCAGCACCACCCAAAAGCCAAAGTTTGCCACCTTTGGCACAGGGAGCCAGCAGAACGCCACCCTGGATAGCAGTAACCACAACTTCCAGCTCAACACTCCTCTCCGTGAACTTTGGAGCCTCAGCAGGCGTAGCTATGAGCAGTTTGGTTTGGAGGGCTCTTTTATCAACAGGTTCTCCAGGACATTCAAGATTCTGCCCAAGGCAGGGTGGGGAACCTTTTCTGCCAAAATTTATAACATCATTCACAGACCATGCAAGATTATCAACTTAAAAAGTAGCCTGCTGTATTTGGTCAAAATTTAGTTAGCTCACCCCTAATGAGTCGGAACCAACTCCACGGCACATCACCACCACCACCACCAATGTGATGGCTTAGAGTCCTGGGGTACCGCTGTGGGCTAATGTGTCAGATTGCAACGCCGTGTGAACTGCAAGGTTGGCGGTTCAAGCTCACCAGCTGCTCCTTGGAAACCCTATATAGGGTTGGAACCGACTCAACAGCACTTTACAACAACGTGAAGGCTGGAACTACAGTTGTCTTGGCAGCCAGACCAAATGATTTCGCAGGCCTTCTATGGCCCGAGGGCTAGACGTTCTCCACCCCTGGCCTAAGGCCTCAGGACCAACAGGAATTTTGATTGGTGCACCGGAATCCAAACTTCCTGCTTTCCGCGTGCAATCCCTTATGTGAACTCCTTGGGGTTCTGGAATTCCGAATTCCCAGACCTCAGGAAGGCAATATGAAGGGCTGTATCTATGAAGCTTGTTCTAGGGTCTGGGACAGAAAGTCTTCATTAATCAGAGAGATTCAAATTCCTGTAAGAGATGCCTAAGCATTTACCCTGCCTCACATCAGGTCACGTGCTGAGGTCAAACAAGTTCAGGTCAGGTCAATAACCAACCGTGGTGGTGGTAGTGTGCCATGGAGTTAGTTCTGACCCCTAGCGACCCTGCATAGGGTTTCTGAGGCTTATAAATATTTACGGGAGCAGAAAACCTCATCTTTCTTTTGTGGAATGGCTGGCAGTTTCTAACTATTGACCGTGTGGTTAGCAGCCCGACTCAATCACTATACTGCCAGAGCTCCTTAACACACAACTGTGAACCCGTATGACTAATGTGGGAGGCTTGGTGGGGCACTATGGGTTCATGTGCTGGACTACAAGGTCAATACGAACTGCAAGATCGGCGGTTCAAGTTCACCAGCCACTCCTCAGAAACCCTATATTGGGTCACTCTGGGTCGGAACTGACTCAGTGGCACTTAGTAACAACAACATAAATGATGTGGCATCCTTCATCAGGTGTTTGGGTAACTCCACCTGAAGTGTTTGTTACTTTGGAGAACTTTTCAAAACTTAAATTTTTAAACTTTTCAAAATTAACAACAATTTAAACATGAACATTGTAACAACAATGAAAATTGGCTCACATGGCAGAACTGGCTTCTGACTGAACTTTAAGTTTAGAAACTAAAAGAAGTATCTGACCTTCCTTTTTCCTTTTGTTAGGAAACATGAAATTGATCACAAGGGACAGATTTAAGATCATTTAAGCTTCATATTTCTTTGAGAAAGAATTACCCAAAGTTCATCTTACATTTGTAACAACACGCACATACTGTGGAATGCAACTTAGTGATTTTGTCTTTTTGTGATTCTGCACATATACAGAGAACTGACCGTTTTACCAATCATATGTATGTAGCATACCAACCTCTGAATTCGGGTGTGAAATGAAGAGTCTGAAGTAGAGAATTGAGGTAACATGTTCCACCCTGATTTCTGATTCCACTTAAATTGGTGAATTCTCTAGGGGCTGGAGGCTCCAAAGTTTTAGTCTTTGATTTCTTCCCTTTCTCATACCAACTATTTGGCACACTGGAATTATCCTCTTCAAATAGGTCGCCAAACATTGCGAAAAGAAATGCTACCCTTAAAAAAAAAAAGTAAGACGTGTTAAGGAAATGTTTTATTTTTGCAATAAAATTGCCTCCACTCTCCCTACTTTACACTTAGGCCTTATCTATCTTAAGCTTCTCCTTGGAAAGCAAATACAGGAGCTTGGACTTTGGAAGTAGCAAGGCCTGAATTCCTTCATGCTATGTAGCATGGCCTCCACAAGTTCAAGGAGGCAGTTCTGGTATTGGCAACACAATGTCACCTGCGGTGCAGGGTCACTGTAGTAACACAATGCCACCTACGGTGCAGGGTCACTGTAGCATTTAAATGACATGATGAAGAAACAACACTTTGTGCCTAGGGTTTGACCAACAATGTTGTTATTGTCAGTTTCCACTCATAGTGACCCTGTATAGGGTTTCCAGAAGCGGCTGGAAGCGCCGGCTTTGCGGTTAAGCAGTCCAGTGCTGATCCTGTAGTACCGCACCGGGACACATCTATTGGCCCACAATGCATGAGAACTGTTTTTAAAAGGGCACAGTCACGTCACTAATGAAAAGAGCGGGCAGTCCACTGATGGATGGTGTCGTCATGGCCAGATGCTGAGTTGACTGAGTTGATCATCGCACTAAAATCTCGGTCTCACACCCTCGTATCAGATTGACACGGTAATGAAAAATCAAACAGCTTCTTTGCAGCAGTTTAGCATGTGACCTCAAAGTTGGTGAGACTGGGAAGACCCTGCCAGTAACGGGATCATGCTAAAGGGCCTCCTAGCTGTACCTAAGGGAACCAAACTTCAGCCCCGAGGACCCGACAAGACCATCAGCGGGGGCAGCTAAGGAATACAAAGCACCGAGCACAGCTCCGAAGTGGCAGAAGTGCTTTACCAACTCCAATTCGCAGTCGGGATTCGTGTCTCCCCGCGGCAGGCCCGAGGTCGAGGCGCTCCGACCCTCAGGGCCACCACCAGTGTGGGGGCGCGACGAAACCGAGGCCGCCGCTTTCCGGGCCCGCAGACCCGACGCCGGGAGAGCGTCGCGTTCCCGGGCAGGCCTGAGCTGCTGCTTGCCTTGCCTTCCTCGGGTCGTACCGTCAATACGGCCTCTACGCTTCCCGCGCCCCTCCCGGGGTTCCCGGCCGCCAACTCCACTTACAGCCCAGAGCCCCGAACCCCGCCCCAGCCAAGACACGACGCGAACAACCACGTCTCAACCGGGCGCCGCCATCTTGGCGAGGGTGGATCTCCAGCTACAGCCCCGGCGCGACGTATAAAATGCAGCGGATTACGTTTCTCAAGATGCTACGCCGGAGCGCCGGCCCGTCGCGCCAGGCCTTATGGGCATTGTAGTTCCTTTTCTACAATAGTCTGTGTTGTTGTTGTTGTTGTTAAGTGCCATCGAGTCGGGTCCGACCCATAGCGACCCTGTACAGGGTTTCCGAGGGTGTAAATCTTTACGGGAGTAGAAAGCCTCATCTTTCTCCCGCGGAGCGGCTGGTAGTTTCGAACCGCTGACCTTAAGGTTCGCAGCCCGATTCGTAACCACTACGCTACCAGAGCTCCTTACAATAGTCTGTGTAGTCGTTGTTAAGAGTCGGGGTGAAATGGACAGTGCTTTTCTTGGGCATCCAGCACTCAATTCTTTCGTATCATTAGGTTTGTATTTATTGTTGTTGCAAAGCATACTAGTCTCAGTAGGGTGCTCAAAGATCGTAAGTCCTTGCCTGTCACCATGATTAATTTCCAAGTTAACATCCCTGGATGGTGCAAACGGTTTACACTTGACAGCTAACCAAAGGTTTGTGGTTCGAAGCCACCCAAGAGTATAGTGTAAGAGATGCGTGACGACCTGTTTCCTTTAAGATTGTTGTGAAGTGCCGTCAAGTCAGTTCTGACTCATAACAACCCTGGATAGGGTTTCTGAGGAGCTGCTGGTGGGTTTGAACTACTGACCTTATGGCTAGCAGTCCAGTGCTTATCCTACAGCGCCATACCAGGACGCCTTCCGTTAAGATTTATTGTTGTTAGGTGCCGACGAGTCAGTTCTGACTCATGGCGGTGGTGGTTATGTGCTGTGGAGTCGGTGCCTACTCACAGTGACCCCGTACAGGGTTTCCGAGGCTGTAAATCTTTACAGGAACAGAAAGCCTCATCTTTCTCCAGTGGAACCGCTGGTAGTTTCGAAGTGCTGACCCTGAGGTTAGCAGCCCGATTCGTAAACACTATGCTTCCAGAGTTCCTTTCATAGCGACCCTGTATAGGGTTTCCAAGGAGCGGCTGAAGGGCTTGAACTGCGAACTTTGTGGTTAGCAGTCCAATGCTTATACTACAGCGCCACAGCATGCTATGGAGAAGTTCTGTAACACATGGAATCACTACAAGTCAGAATTGGCTCACCAGCAACTAACAACAACTTGTTTGTTGTAGTTGTCTGTGTCAGTCCCCACTCACGTCAACCTTATGTATAACAGAAGAAAACGTGGGGTGTCCTACTGGGCATTCCCACGACCTGTAGCTGCAGAGCCAAGAGCTATTGTTTTGCAGGTTTGTACAGAATTTCAACCAGTAATTGAGAGAAGACAGGCTCAAAAGAAAGAAAGCAGGCACCGCATTGTGTTAAAAATGAGCCTACTGACTTGGTTTTTAAGAGGAGTCTGAAGCAAGTGCAGAGGCCCTGGCTCGTGCCAAGGTATGGCTGTGGCAAGGATGGTCAGAAGCAGGTCAGATGAGTAGGTGATGCAGAACCATCTCCCTGAAAGAGCAAGACTGAGACAAGAGCCAGATAAGACAGTCACATGACTGAGGTGTCAACAGTGGTCTGGGAAGGAGGGATGCATTGCTCTCAGTGTGTTTATTTATCCATTCACTGATTCAACAAATATTCAGTAAGCTCCTACTAAATGACAGGCACAGGCTTAGATGCCAGAGGTAGAATACTGTATGTGACTGACCCGACCCTTACATGAAGCTTACTCTCTAGTGCAGAAGATGAACAGGAAAGCTGGATAATTGTAAACACTGAAAGTGATTTGAAGGAACTCATAATGGGATAAAACCAAGGAAATGTCAAAAATAGGGAGGGGACGGTTTCTAACATTGCCCTCAGTGTAGGCTGCAAAGAACATGAACCAATGAGAATGTGCGTGGAGAGACATGGACCCACCATTCTAGGCTGTTGTGTTAAGTGCTGTGGAATCGGTTCTGAATCATAGTGATCCTGTATAGGGTTTGTGAGGAGTGACTGATGGATTTGAACCACTGACCTTGAGATTAGCAGTCCATTGCTTATCCTACAGTGTCACACCAAGACCCATTCTAGGCAGAGGTGGTGGGGGCCATATTAATCAAGGAATTGAGACATATTAATCAAGGAATTGAAATAAAGAAATGAGACACGGGGGACCCTGCGCATGAAGAGCTCATTGTTCTAGCAAAGCGACAATGACTGTTTTCTTTGGATTGGCAAAGCCACAAAGAAAAATTCTATGCACAGGCCCCTAGTTAAATTTTCTCTTTTTGAATCATTCTCTGATTTATACATGATTTTATTAGTATCCCTTTATTTTAGATTTTGACTCTCCTACACGTTAGTATATTTTTATTAAAAGTTAGAAGCTATATATTAGCTACATTTACTCTACTTGTAATCATAGGTAGTTTTAATACTTATATTAACAATGTTCTTAAGACTGCTAGGAGACAGGATTTGTCAGTTGAATTACTACCAGCTTAGGTTTAGTGATTATAAACATTCTTCCTTGTAACCTTAGTTTAAGACAATAAAGAATCCTTAAAAGCAGTTAGACCATAAATAAGGGCTATGAGTATACATAAATAAAAAGTCTGACTTAGACGTTCTTAAATTAATGATCAGTAAAATAGGGAAGTTGTTTTTCATAGCCTCAGTTTTTAAAATGTTCTGATAAGTGATATTTTTGTAGGCTATAAACAGATAGTGTATGGAAGAAGCCAATGAAGAGTAATTGCATCCAACAACTAAGATTGATGAGTTAACAAGACTTAACAGATAGAGGTTATGAAACATATGTGAAGGTTAACTTGCTCCTCAGAGAAAAGAATACAAGTTATTTATGTAGGAACAAATGTTTAACCAAAAGATTTCAAGGCGCCAGGATGTCACTTTTGCTCTGATGTAATGTTGTAACTTCTTGTCCCTGTTGTAAATCTAAGGGTCGTAAACCATGAAGAATGTGCCCCAGAATAGATTGTATTTTGAAAACATTAATTACTATGAAAGCTATGTTTTTTGTAACGGTATATAAGGGGATTGTAAGATAGAATAAAGGATGAGAGGAGAAAAAAACATGTAAGACGAAGATCTTGAATTCATCATGACCTATAGACTGTGTGATTCTTTCCCGCCGATGCCGCATACCCCTTTGGATCCCCTGAATAAGTTTGCTGAGGCTGGCCCCCAGCACAGAGGCAACAGCAAATACAAAGATTCCAAGGTGGAAAAGAAATTGGCATATCCCACGTGCAGAGATCAGAGGTGGCATCAGGATTAGAGGAAGACTCATTAGCAGCCTGTGATATGAAGATGTTATAACCTTGTTTGCTGAAAGTGAAGAGGACTTAAAATAACTACTGATGAAGAACAAAGACCACAGCCTTCAGTATGGGTTGCACTTCAATGTACAGAAAACAAAAATTCTCACCACTGGACCAATAAATCACATCAAGATAAATGGAGAAAAGACTGCCATTGTCAAAGACTTCATTATGTTCTGACCCACAAGCAAACACACCCAGCAGGTCTGTGGGACTAAACCCTGGTAATCTGATTTTGTAAAGATTAACCATCAACACTCATGGAAGCAGCAGTCAAGAAATCAAATGATGGATTGCATTAGGCAAATCTGTTGCACAAGACGTCTTTAAAGTGTTCAAGAGCAAAGACATCAATCTGAAGACTAAGGTGTGCCTGACCCAAACCATGGTATTTTCAATAGCCTCATATGCATGTGAAAATTGGACAGTGAATAAGGAAGACTGTAGAAGAATTGATGCATT